ATGAGGCAGAAGCACACTGGAGGCCCTAGAGAGGCTCGGAAATACTTCCAGAGAGAATATTTTTGGACCATAAGTAAAATTAAATTTTGGCAATTAAGTCCTTGGATAAGGGGGTCAGATAACATGGTTTTTGAATATAAACTCTTTAAGTGCTATCGTTTCATGGACCTAGAGTGATCCCTTGATGTCACAGGGAACAGACTCTGGTGATGAGTATGGCATTGTGATGTTTCGAAAAACCAAGTCTAAATAATGAGAACAATATATATGATGAACATTTCAAAGCAATGCTTTTACCCTGAGAACTTGACTAACGATTCTAGGCACTGAGATCTGGGAACCCTATGTGAAGTATCTTGAAACACAGGGAAGAGGGAGATGCACCACTGTAAAGTTTTTGTTGTTGTTCTTGTTTAGTAAGTCTAGCCAAAAATACCAACTTTGGATGTTTATCAAGACATGAGGAGTGTAGAAGAGAAGCAGATATAGTGGCATTTGGTCCCTCTCATTACCTCTTTCACATATGGGATCAAAACCCTTATGTAAAAGAAGTAACTGGGAGTATGGCGGCACAATGCACAACTGAACTAAATAGTGTTTAAAATGAAGGCTGGAAGGCAGAAAGATGAAGACTTCAACAGAGATATGACTATATCATTTCTATCAAATGTTACTCTTGTTTTGTTTGTAGGTGACCTAGGATTCTCAAAGAACCTAGGATGCCTTCTGCTTTGTGAAATTTGACTGAAGCAGGTTGCAGCTTAAGTTTGGAAAGGGACGTTTTCAGCAATATCTCTTGCCCAGTTGTGTTGAGATTTTGTTCAATATACCATTACTTTATATCAGTTCTTTTGCCCTTCCCCACTCCCCATATTTTCTTAATAAAAATACAGTTGATAGTTTGTACTAATGACATTATAATACTGCCATTGTCCTGAACTGTTTGTTCTGGGATGCTCTGTGTTCAGATTTGGGTGTAATCACTGGTCTGCTAATGCTTTGTTTGCATGACTGGTTATAATGTTCTTGCCAGCTTTGTGTATGTCCTGTTTTGAATGGCATACAGATAGCTGTTTTCTAACCTCTTGCATTCTTTCCCAAACAATCATCCAGACAGCCGCCAAGCCCTAGCTGCAGACAAGTAGGTAAGCAACTGTGCTGTGGAATGGTCTATTGTCCCATTGCAGTTTGTTGGAGAGAGAGCAGTAATTGTCATTCCTCTGTGGACTGAAAGGGAATGAGAGGTGGTCTGTACTGTCCAGGCACTTCCTTTCTCTCTTCCTCCCATGACCACTTAATAGCCATAGTAGCAGTTCCACGGGCAGCAGACGCCACCAAGTAAGTCAGGCTTTATATAATCCTGTAGAATAATCACATTAATGTAAACTCATCAATGAGCAACTTGTTCAGGGATATTGCATTTGACCTCATTTCTGTGTGCAAAATCAAAATAAACCAGTTGCAACACCCCAAAGTTGTTAGACCACAGATGCCTCTTTCCATTTGTCTGATCCACACATACTCCACTGGGATCTTCAGATTAAAATACTCCTCATCTTCAGATTAATTTTTTGTATTGTTTCTTTCCTCTAACCACTTAACGGTAACCACAAAGAAGAATTAAAAATAGGGGTCGTTGGATTTCACACACCAGAAGGACAGACTATAATAAAGTGTCAAAGTGATATTCTTAGATGCTTCTGGAGCTCACAGATCCCTTACTTGACTATGCTAATTAGGACTGATGGGAACTGCAGTCCAGAAATATCTAGAAGGCTACACATTCCCCAGTCAGGGCTATTTTTCAGTATTTCCAGCTCTTAGTTGGGAAAACTATATCTTATATGTGAATTTGAAGCAAACTAGAAATGGAAGGAACTTTGGTATTCCCTTCCTGTACGAGAAGGGAGCACAGAGCTTCCACAGTAAATTGATATGTTCTTAGTTAAATGGATTTCAACAATCAACTGCCTGTAACATGATACAGTAATAGATTTTCTGACCTCCTTTGGGACGCCTTGCCTGAGTAGACAATAAAACAACCCAACACATTGACTATTCATGCTTTGGCTGGAGTTGCTGTTCAACTTTTCCTTGGTAGAATGCCATGGGGGTGTCTTCTCTCTCGGTAGCCTACAGCACAGAGCTGTAGGACTCAACTTTTTGAGTTTTCAACCCAAGCTGATAGAATTTTTTAATTTGTAATTCTCAAAAATCAACTTTTCCAAGCAGACTGAAAACTGTAGCATGGGTTTTCAGAGAGTGTCTGCCTTTCTTGTTTGTTGTGTTGTATAGCCTTCATTGCATAATGTTCCATAATGTTTCATTGCCTAGTTCTTATTGGTGCCAATTTATTTGATAATTGTATGGAAGCTTCTTGGTGACAGCCAGATGAAAACCAGTGTAAGAATGTCTTAAACAAACTGGTCTTTCAGCATGAATGTTGTGACTGGAGGCAAATTGCCTTAAAGGCATGTAGGTTACTTGAGCACAGAACAACAAAGACTCATAACAGGAAGACATTGGTTACTATATGTTTTAATGGTTTTTGTATGGATTTTATAGTGTTGTTTTAAATGTTTTAATTGTATATTGCGGATTATTATGGCATCAGATTGTTGCCAATTTGTAAGCAGCCTTGAGTCGCTTTTGGGCTTGAAAAAGGCAGGATAGAAATATCATAAATAAATAAATAATACTTCATGAAGCAAGTCCAAAGCCCTATGTATCTCATTCATGTCAAAAGAAAATGAACTGGCAAACTATACTCCCTGACCAAACTTTGCACAAAATGTCCTTAGAAGCACTTTATTTTATGGTTCGTGCAATTAAATCCTTCCTCATTCCCGGATCCTCCTCCTTATAATTTACATTGTCCTATCTCTCAGTGTTTTAAAATTTTATCCTTGAATTTGGCCCTGCCCAGTGAAATCTTCTGTGTTTTTAATGTTTGATTTTATATTGCTGTGTCACTTATATATTGGTTTTGCATTGTATGTATTTTTTTTGTTCTACTATGTTTTTGTGTTATATTGTATGTACTGTATTGATGAGCATGGCCTCATGTAAGCATCACCAAGTCCCCCTGGGGGAGATGGAGCGGGGTATAAATAAAGTATTATTATTATTATTATTATTATTATTATTATTCAAAATATTATAGCCATTTTCAGACCTCCATTCCCCCCCTTTCTCCCTTTTATTTGGCTACTGTGCAAATAACAAATATATAGCACCAATCACTTCAGACTTTAAGAAGTATCATTAGCTCTTTCCCCTCAGACATGCACATATGTACAGACACAGAGGAACCATGAAAAGTAAAATAATTGTGGTAGGACAGCTTGTATTACTCTCTTTCCAGCTTACAAGAAGAAAGAGTGCTTCCAGGAAACAGAACATCCATGGTGAAAATAGCTAGCAGGCAAAACTGTCTGCTGTAATATTTACCAAAAGTAATAAGACTGAAACATATGAAAATAATTAACAATATAAATTATGAACTAAGCCCCGTGGCAAATATTGCAGTAACTGTTCATGAGGCATCTATTTCTGTGCTGTTACTACTGCATTGATAGCTACAAGATTTAATCAGCCAGAGTTCTCTTGAGCTCATCTTTAATGCCAAAGTCCACTTTCCTAAAAATGTGAAGTACTATTGGAAATCGCACCTTAGTACTACCTGTCTGTGGTGGTGAGATTGTATGCGATAGTGAAATAAGAGGCTATGCCGGCAGTAGCACTGCTTCTGTTAAGGTGGTCCCAAGTTATATACGCCTTTGCTGACGATTATATGTGCTGAGCAACTAGTGGGCGGCAGCAGTACTTGGGGGGGGGGGGGGGGGGTGGTAACACTGGTAAAGGATCCGTAATTCTTCTTATGCCTACCTCATAGAAGTTGAGAGTGTCAATTCCAGCAGGTGATCAAATATCTTTGCTCTGGTGCATTGTCATTACACATCTTTGAACTGTGCCAGTTTGGTGGGGACAGTTACAGTTAATCCCTTTTCTTTCTCCTCTTCCCACTTTCCTCCTTCACTTTTGTCTTACTTCCGTTGCTGGATTGATACTAAATTCAAAGTGCAAATGTAGTTTGATATCCATTAACGAAGCAGAGGGAAGAAGCAGAGGGAATGTGTTGCCCTTTACTGTAGACTCAGGCAAAAGCTACTGAAAACTCACACGGCTATTAATTTCTTCCTCATTAATAATTTTTGTCATCTTGGTTACACTATGATATTGTTTAGCGGGTTTCATCTCCTAAATGACGAAGCATATGTCATCAGTGGTTTGCTGCTGGAACCATTCCTAAACTGAGCATACCCGCCCTGTTTCTCCAAAGACTCTTAAAAATTTACAAAAAAGTCGAAAGCATTTTGCAACTGTGAAGAACAACAGAAATGAATGCAAAAAAGCCTAATTCTACAGAAATGAATACTATATGAATACCCAGAGAGTGCAGCGTAAAATAGAAACACAAACTTCTCTGAAAAGCTGAGAGCTACCCTTTAAAAAAGCAGAAAGTGTTCCGACTCAGACTTATCTTTCTTTCTGTTCTGAAAGCAGTTCCCATGAATGTTGTATACTCTAATGCAGGAAGCAATACACAGCAGTTGTCTATACTTCAGTGCTCTAGGCAGACACTTGGGAGTTTCCTGCACTTTCACTTTCAGTAGTTGCTGAGATAAGGGCAACAACCACTTCCGAGAATATGTTACCGTTCTAATGGAGCCGAAGTTACACACCATTTGTCTCTGCTAATTGAAACAATTTGCATGTGTGAAATGTGTACTACTTTGGGAGTTTTATACATGTATTGTCAAGGTTTTTTTTTCATTCCTTATGATGTAAGCTAAATTTAAGTAGAATTAATTATTACAGATTAAGGAAGCAATAGCTCCAAGTTGCTGTGAGTTTTCCAGGCTGTATGACCATGTTCCAGAAGCATTCTCTCCTGATGCTTCGCCCACATCTATGGCAGGCATATAACAACAACTACTACTACTACTACTACAACTTTATTTTTATACCCCTCCTCCATCTCCCTGAAAGGACTCAGGACAGCTTACATAGGGACAAGCTGGATCAACATAGTTAAACTATAACACACTAAAATACATAAACAGTATAAAACAGAATAAAACAACATTATAACAGAATATAAAAGCAACCATCGAATCCACAACCAATGAACCTAAAATAATATCGATTTCTGGACACGGGCGGGTGGACTGTGCAAATCAATTGTGAGGATTTTTAATGTCGTGTCAAGGCAACCAGTCAATTATATTACATTTCTAGCAGAACAAAGCAAACAAACAGACAAAATACAAAATTTGTGAGTTTGGTAGTTGGTTAAATGTCCTTTGACCAGTAGCTGACCACTTGGAGTGCTTCTGGTGTTGCTGCAAGAAGGTCCTCCATTGTGCATGTGGCATGTGCATGCACAATTGTGAGGATAAGGCTGATGGATAAAGTGCATAAGTCAAAAAGCAAAATTAGGGGTGGAGGGCAATGTAAAATGGAACATTATATCTTTGGGAAGAGAACAGTAGTAAAGTGCAAGGATGGGATTTTGGGTCATAGCTGGGGCCAAGTTATCTGGGGAATTGTCTAGTCAAAATCACAGCAGAACATCCACATTTTTAGATCTTTACAAAAAATGGACATGGTGGGTGCTAACCAAATCTCCCTGGAGAGGGAGTTCCAAAACCAGAGGGCCACCACCGAGAAGGCACTCTCTCTTGTTCCCAGTAACCTTGCTTATGATGGGGGTGGGAGTGAGAGGAGAGCCTCCCTGGAAGATCTTGGAGATCATACAGGTTTGTAAGGGAAGATGCAGTTGCAAAGATAGGTAGATCCCGAACTGTCTAGGGCTTTATAGGTAATAACCTGTACCTTGAATTGGGACTGGAAACTTTTTGGCAGACAGTGGAGCTTTTTAAATGGGAGGGTTGACAGGCATCCTCAGAGGCTGTTGAAAAAAGTGAGGTTTATGTATCTGATATATACAACAGACCTCACAGCCTCTGAGAATGCCTGCCATGGATATGGGAAAAGCATCAGGAGATAATGCTTGAGGAACATGGGCATATAGCCCGGAACACAGCAACCCAATGATTCCAGCCATGAAAGCCTTCGACAACACAATAACCCTGAGTTTACAAGACCCGTGGAGGGTAATAGACTGCTTATTTTTACTATTATTCTGGGGCCGCGGGGGCATGACAATATTCTACATATACATAAAGGTATGTGCTGCACAGAATTCAGCATTATACAGTATTATCTCCTAAACATTTGAACATATCAATCAGAGTAGCTCCATCTTACTGTTGAATTTAGGACTCACTCACTTATTTGTAAGTATCATCTGGATTATTGATGTGTGTCGCACAGAAATAAGTGTTTGGATTGAAAGGAATGGTTATCTGTTTTAAAGGAGACATCTACCAATCACAAGGATAAGTTACACAGAACAGTTCTGAAAGTCATTTTGGGCGAAACAGCCTATAAATAAAACAGGGTAATACTATGTTTCTGAATGGAAATGTCCTTCACACTTTTGCACAAATGAGGAACTGGGAACTCATCCATTTATCACTTTCAGCATGATGTAAACCTCTGGTGCATGGGTACTGCAAAGAGGAACATGCTGGCGACATACCCATTTGAGAACCATCATTCTCACACTGCCTCCAATCATGCTATTGTGCCCTTAAGCGTTGCTTTTCCTTTCCTCTTTTTCCATCTTATCCATTTTCTTGAACCCCAGCTCCTTCCTTTCTTCAGGCTTAGTAAAAAAATTGTCCCATTCTCCCGAATATTTTTGCATAGAGTGTTAGCAAAGAGGTCATGCCCCTCCCCTCTCTCTTTCCTTTCCTTTCTCTGTGAATACTCTTTTTTCTATTGGAGGGGATAATTCTGCTGACAATTGAAGGAGGAAGTTATGCAGAGAGACTGACCCAAAAGAAGGGCATATTTCCTAGGCAACTTGTCACAACAATCAGTCATTAAACAGAAAACGATTTGTTAAGTGTTAATAGTTTTTCTGTCTTTCCTTTTTCTTGCTCAACAGCCAAGTGCATTATTCTTGCAACTCAACAGTTCTTGGCTACTATCATAAAATATCTTCTGCAACATAGTGGAAGAAAACAAAGCTAACATTTCAGGTGTCAAATCCCAGAAGTAAGTGTATTTCTCTTCCCTTTCCCTCTTTACAGGAACTAGAGGCTTTGCTGTATCTGTATGCAAAAGAAGACTGGATGCAGCAGGAAAGGTGAGAAAGTTTAATTCCAAACAATAAATAAATAAGTGAATAATTAATTCACGTGCAGCATGAGAGTCTGGCTGGGCCCTTGGCATTTCTACCTGCTAATGAGCCAGAAAATCACTTCCGAAGCTTCCTCGGCCCTTGCTCAATGCAGCATTCTGCTGGGCGGATGAAAATAATGAAAAGCTCCTATTACGAAACAGAACATTCTGTTCCTGTTCAGTTGCTAGATGGAATCATTTGGGGAACACCTCCCTTTCCTTCTTTTTAAACCCAGTGCATGGTGCCTATCAGGACAGGGCCCTGGAGTAAAAGTTGCTCGGCTAACATATACCTTCAAGCGATATATAATTTTATCGGCACTATAACATCATTTTGTACTTCCCATGAACTAGTTGGTAGAGTTAACTCAAGCCTGCAACTCCATCCAGGCAGCACATTACTCAGAGCTTGGAAGTACACCAGCAAAAATAATCCAGGGGCAATTCAGAGTACTTTTGTCTCAGTGCCATTCCAGATTCATCCTGTTAGTGCCTCATCTGCCGAGGGAAGCTTTGAATACAATTTTCCTGCTTCTTGGCAGGGGGTTGGACTGGATGGTCCATGAGGTCTCTTCCAACTCTATGATTCTATGATTTTATCAGTAGCTGTAGGAACCAAAGGGCTCTCAAGTATCTTGAGGCTAGAGTTTTACAAAAATCTCCTGGATTTGTTGTGTCCCTGATCAACTTGAGGCTCTTTCACACTACACAATTATAGCACTGTGGTCCATTTTAATCACCAGGGACTGACATTATGTGAGGGAGGTTAGAATTCCCAGCCAGAGAGCTTCCAGTGCTTCACTGAACAACAAATTCCAGTATTCCATGGAATGGAGCTATAACAGTTAAAGTGGAATCACTGCATTATAATTGTGTAGTACGAAAGGGCCCCTGGTTTCCCAAGGTCCAAGAGGGCAACCGCTCTCCCTTTTTCCAAGTTGCAGAGCTTCAGAATGTTAATGTTTGGTAAGCCTTCCTGCCCCCGAGGAATTGCCTACCCATGAATCGGTTGTGAGAGTGTACCTTAACACTTCAAGATGAGATGAAGTCTTGGAGCAGAAAGAAAAGCCCAGCAACCATACTTTATGCTCTGTTAGCACTGAACAGGATCTAAGCCCTAACAAAAGGTAATTGAAAAGTATGGGGGGCGTTCATAAAAGATTTCCCCTGACTCACTTCTATTTATCGCAAGACAATGAAACTGCACATGTGTAATGATATAAGTCTCTATAGCTTATGTGCCAATTTACTACTCAGAATAGATAACGGTCTTGATTTTACAGGTGCTTAATGGTGTGAGGGTTGATAATGGACCCAGTGGAACACAGAGAAGTCATCAAGTTCCTTTACTTGAAAGGCCGCACACGAAGACATTCGATGAGATGAAAGAGGTTTATGGTGATGATTTCCCATCATATAATGTAGTCAAGAACTGGCATCATCAATTCAAATGTGACCACTTCAGTGGAAACAGCTCCAATTCCAGGTCAACCCCACTCTGCTATTAATGAGCACACCATCCAGCAATGGAGGTCGCCATTTTGGAAAATTGCCACGTAATCATTCGCCACCTAGCCCAAAATGTCAAGATTAGTGTGGGGTCCATGGGAAAAAAATCATCCAAGACCATCCTCACAAGCATAAGGTATCAGCTCTTTGGATCCCCAGGCTGCTCACACCTTTCCAGAAGCAGGAATGAGCTGAGTGCTCTCAGGCTCTATTGGCGATGTGCCATGGAAACCAGGAGGACATTTTCTACAGACTGATCACACAGGATGAAAGTTGGTTCAATCACTATGATCCTGATACTAAAGTCCAGTCGATGCAATGGAAGTATCATGATTCATCGCCTCCAAAGAAGGTACTACCAAAGAAGGGTACCATGATCACTGGGGCATACAATGCTTCACTGCTGTGGAAATTGCAGGTGGCCATCAAAACCACAAGATGTTGCATGCTCACCAAAGGTGTCTGCTTTCTGCAAACTCACAGAACTCACATGTTACCCAAATGGAAGCATGCTCCTGTGGCTTTGAAAGTCTACCGTATCCCCCTTATTCACCTGACCTCACACCATCGGACTTCCATCTTTTCCAACAATGAAGTTATTTTTGAAGGGCAAGCATTTTTCAGATGATAAGATTGATTTCCAAAGTCCCAACATAGCTTTTGGAGCAACCTGTCAATTTCTACAAGTGAGGTGTTTACAGTTGCTTAAAAAGATGGGAGAAGCGTGTTTCCCTAGGTGGCACCTATGTAAAGAAGGACTAATAAACTGTGTCAAGTTTAATTGCTCTCAGTCCACAGGAAGTGGGTCAGGGGAAATTTTTAATAAATGCCCCTCATAAAGAGCAGTGCAAAAGGCATTGTAACAATTCACTTCTTCATTACTAACCTCTAATCAGCTCTCCACATTTGCTGGGGTTAGTGGCACAGGGCCACAATGAAAGTGAAAAAATTGGGTTGGGGTGGGGTTTTTTTTTACTTGAGGGAATACCTTTCTAGGAATTTCTAGGTGTTCCAGCATTACTCCATGGTCAACCCTTCCTGGAAGTTGAACATAGGATTGCACTTGAAGACCTAGAGATTCATAGAGAGGTATTCTTTCTAGAAATCTATAGGTCTTTTAGCATGGTTGGAGGAAATTGATCATAAAGTTACATTGGAGGAACTAGAGATTCCTAGATAAAACATTTTAATCCCCCCCCCCCTCCCCAATCTATAATAAAATCCACAAAGTCAAAATCGCAAATTTAAGGAATGACTGTATGACCTCAATATCGACAGGGGATATGTTACGAGACTCCCTATGGATATCTGAAACAGAATAATAGCAAACTCTCTATTTTGACTATACTTGGTCTAGAAGCATATTGCAAAATCACACTGAAGGACCTAGAGAGGCTCAAAAACACTTGCAGGGAGGATTACTTTTTGGAACATAAGTAAATGAGTCCTTGGATAAGGGGAGGGGGGCACATGAACTGGTTTTTGAGAAGAAACTTTCTAAGTGTTATCATTTCATGTCTGATCTGGCACTGAACTAAGAAAGAAAACATACATAAAGGAAGAAGCACCAATCGGCAATTGTTTTTCCCACTACAGTAATTCTTTGTGTGTATTATTATCTGCTGTAATCTCACAAGACTGTGGTTTACCATTCGGATTATAAACTGATCCTAGATCTTTCATTTTTTTTCTGTTGAGAGGGCAGAGAGGATTTCAGTACAGTATTTCATTAGCAATTTTAAAACCATATAAATCCATTGGATGAAAAAAAAGTCCAAAAAAATCTAGGAAACAGAATTAAATGATGAGTAAGTAAAAAATCTATAGAAAAGGGAATTTTGTTTCACATTCAAATTAAAATGAGTATCATCTTGTCTCATAATTATACTCCATAGTTTTTAGTTAATCCAAATAGAACAGCAATATCCGACAGTTTAATGTGACATTTGAGAGTTTGCCTGCTTCTGACATTTGGTATACAGTAACCTGACTACCACTTTCAAATGAAACAGCAATATTTATTTGTTTTGGAGGATTTTCTACTTTTTAAAGACTCACTAGGCCAGGCCAGACCAAACCTCTATTACTTATGGCCTTTGCAAATTATTCAAACAAATTGAAAAGCATAATAGGCTACAAACTGCATTTACAAGTACCCAGCATGAATGCTTAATTTAGAATGCACTCATAATCATTTCTCAAAATCAAAAATAGTAATGCGAGCATTAAAAAAGAGTTATCTTCGGATCAAATTTGAGCATTGCAATAATAATGTATGTTGTTGTTTATTAATTCAGTTGCTTCCAACTCTTCGTAACCTCATGGACCAGCCCACGCCAGAGCTCCCTGTCAGCCTTGGCCACCCCCAGCTCTTTCAAGATCAAGCCAGTCACTTCAAGGATACCATCATCCATTTTGTCCTTAGTCGGCCCCTCTTCCTTTATCCTTCCATTTCTCCCAACATCATTATCTTCTCCAAGCTTTCCTTTCTTCTCATTATATGGCCAAAGTGCTTAATCTTTACCTCTAATATCTTTCTCTCCAGTGAGCAGCCGGGCATTATTTCCTGGAGTATGGACTGGTTTGATCTTCTCGCAGTCCAAGGCGCTCTCAGAATTTTCCTCCAACATCACAGTTCAAAAGCATTTCTTCACTCAGCCTTCCTTATGGTCCAGCTCTCACATCCATAGGTCACTGTGACCTATTTTGGGTTACCTGTGACCCATTGCTTTAACTATGCGGAACTTCATTGCCAGTGTGGTCTCTACACTATTTTATCAAGATTGGTCATTGCTCTCCTCCCAAGAAGTAAAGGTCTTCTGATTTCCTGACTGTAGTCTGTGTTTGCAGTAATCTTTGTGCCTAGAAAGACAAAGTCTGTCACTGCCTCCACGTTTTCTCCCTATATTTACCAGTTATCAATCAGCCTGGTTGCCATAATAATGTTTTTTGTTTAACTACAACCCAGCTTTTGCACTTTCTTCTTTCTTCTAGGTTATAAGGGTCCTCAAGTCCTCCTCGCTGTCCTCTGTTCAAAACATTCAAAATGGCGGCGCTTTGGGCCAATAGCATGCGGACCGCAGCGGTAGCTCTTCTGCGGCCTCGCCCAAGCCCAGCCTCCATCTCCCTGGCTGCGGGCTACCACGAGAAAGTTGTGGACCACTATGAAAACCCCCGGAATGTGGGCTCGTTGGATAAGAACGCCAAGAATGTGGGCACTGGCCTGGTGGGTGCCCCGGCTTGTGGTGATGTCATGAAGCTGCAGGTTGAAGTGGATGAAAACGGCAAAATCATTGACGCCCGCTTTAAGACGTTTGGATGTGGATCAGCCATTGCTTCCAGTTCTTTGGCAACTGAGTGGGTGAAGGGCAAGATGGTTGATGAAGCCTTGAAGATCAGGAACACGGACATTGCCAAGGAGCTCTGCCTCCCTCCGGTCAAATTGCACTGCTCTATGCTGGCAGAGGATGCCGTTAAGGCCGCTTTGGCCGATTACAAGCTGAAGCAAGGATCGAAGGGGCCCGAGCCAAAGCAGAATGTGGCCAGAGCTTAGAAGCTTTCCTGTCCTCCTCAGAAAGCCTCCCCTATACCTCTCTGGAAAAGCTCTTTGCATAAAGACTTGAAGCAACAAGAACAAAAAAGAGACCCTATTAATGAATGGATTATTATCTAACAATAGGTGGCATACATTTACTGTTATTTTTTAATATATATATATAATCCAATTAAAATGAGACACAGACATGTAAAGCAGGTTTCCAAATACAAGGAGGAAAATAAAAGCTGGGGAAAAAATCTGTCACAGTTCAAGCCAAAAGAGGCCAGCAATATTGGCCAACATCATAGTCTGAAAGTTGAGTTTAGAAAAACAAAAAAACTAAACAGAGTTATAAGGATCATTTTTATACTGCCAAAAACTACCTGGAACCAATTAATCTTACAAAAGATATCTACTGACCAACATCATTTGTACTGTTTCTTTCCAAAGACAAGAACTTGGAGTTTTGCATGATTATTATTCTTACTTTGTTTGCAGCATTATCCAAGTCTGAATGACAAGCCTACACCTCTAAAAAGTATTATATTATCCACATAAAGAAGAACAGAAGACTTAATGGAAATCATTTGAAGGTGGAAAGAATAAAAGACCAGATGGACTACACCGTGATTTAGTTAATTAAAAAACTGAAAACTATAGAAGCCAAGTGTGATGAAGCATTGAATTTTAATGTAAGTTAAGCGTAGTTATGTATATGTGTCTCTACAGTTAAATATGATTGTATGTGTATATATATATGCTTAGATGGTTGAATATTATTATATGAATGTGTTCAGGAGGTAAAATACAGTTGTTGTTGTTATTATTATTATTATTATTATTATTATTATTATTATTATTATAACTTTATTTGTACCCCGCTGGCATCTCCCGCAGGACTCGATGCGGCTTACATAGGCCAAGGCCTCAAAACACAATACAACAGTACAATACCTAGAGCAAATTAAAAGCAGTTAAGCAGAGATAAACAACAGCAATAATAATACATCGAGACATCAAGACAATATAAAACTGGGCCAGGCCAGAGTAATGGGTACAAGATTAAAAGTGCTGATGTGGCAGGAGGTATGTAGGATTATAAAGTAAGTGCAGTGTGCAGTGATCTTAGTTCTACTAAAGTGCTTCTAGGACTTGGTATTGGGGGTTCCTAATCTGAAAAGGCACATCGGAACAGCCAGGTCTTCAAGTTCTTTCTGAAGACTGCCAGCGAAGGGGCCTGTCTAAGATCTTTTGGGAGGGCGTTCCAGAGTCAGGGGGCCACCACAGAAAAGACCCTGTCTCGAGTTCCCACCAAGCGCGCCTGCAACGCGGGCGGGATCACGAGCAGGGCCTCTCCAGATGACCAGAGTGAGCGTGTGGGTTCATAGACGGAGATGCGATCACGTAGGTAGGGTAGTCCCAAACCGTTCAGGGCTTTGGAGGTAAGCACCTGCACCTTGAATTGGGCTCAGAAGATGCCCAGTTATGGATGTACATCAAGGGTTAACCATTTAGAAATGGCAAAAAACTAGGGGAATGGGACCAAGCTCAGCACTCTGAGTTAGGTTGCCATAGAGAAAGGGGTGGAGCCAACTGCTCTTACCAGAAGCAGACATTTTGAAGCTTCAGTCCTTTGGTCATTGAGCCAAAGGGAAGTTGGTTCAAACGTGTGGTGAACCAAGCTAAGGGAAAGCTTTTAGCCTGAGTGATTTAAATAAGTCAACGGGACTTATTTAGGTTTGTGGTTTAGCTGTGTGCTAATAGGAGAAGAAATCCCGCTGGGAATCTTTACTTCAGCAGGAAGCTGAAGGGAGACAAGGGCATTAGCTGACCTTAGTTAATCTGTCAAATAAGGAAACATATTTAGAAGTGTAACAACTAAAGAACTAGTTGGTGAAGTAAAAGACATCCTAAAGTTATATTAAGATTTGTTGAAACTGTAACTCGTAAAGCTTTATACCTCAGGAGAAGAGAACTCTGAAACCATTAAGATCCTTCCACACTCCAAATAAACTTGTTCTTGTTTTAGTAACTCAAGTCTCAGTGTACTATTTCAAATGAAAAAAAAAAAAGGAAACCTCTACACACCAAAAGAAACACTACAGAGTGGTAGCAGTGAATCTATTTGAAAATACGGGAATCCATTAATAAACTAAATAGGAAACCCTTATTAATTGGTGGCAGCATAACCTAGTACCTCACAGATGGTGGCAGCATACTAGATTGAATAGAATATCAGACAACGAAGAGGAAGCCTTACACCAAGTTTTAATGTATTGAGTCACTGCAATTTGTTTCATGAAAGATAAATTCCTCCTTTGATTTTTGCCCCAATATTACTGTGGAACATGAAGCAAACCAAAACACCTTTCTTCATGGTAATTTGCCTTATATATTATTTATCTTAGCCAAATTGCACGCTTTACGTCCATAAAAGTTGCATAAAGATGTCTAGTAGGGATCTTAATGCTTTGTTGCAATGATCAGTTTTCTTTTGACCTTTTCTGAAATGATGTTTATAACAGAGTATATGATTCCCTTTCTCCCACTCTTCCAATTTATTCAAAAGGCATGTGTCATACAGTTTAGAAGGAACATCTAAAAGGCCTATTAGTGGAGAAAAAGAAAGAAGCATCTGGAAAAGGGTTACACAGAGGAGGAAGAGGAGACAAATAAGACTTTGAGGTTATTATTAATCAAACCTCCAGCCAAAATTGGATTCCAGGTCTGTCATTGATCATCTTTGTACCTCATTTTAACAGGAAGTTTGGAAAGTTGAGGAATGATTGGGAAGTCTCTAGAGATATGGAAGGGTGTTGTTTAGCCAAAAGCCTGGATTTAGTAACCACACTGAGAAATATTCCTTGCATGTGTAGACATTATTCACAAATTATTGAAATGGCAAATATTTTTCCAGAACTGTGTTTAATCTAAGTGTTGGGAATTATCAGCCTCTGCCAGTATGGCCAATAGCCAGGTATGATGGTCACAGTTTCTGCATTTCTGCTTAAAACAGTGTTATTATTCTTTATGCCCCAAATTCTCTACTAATTCTTACAGAATGAAATATTCAAATATAAAATCTTATCCTTTCTGACTGGATTGGATGGTTTCTGGACATTCCCCAATACCCCATCCTTCAGGACACTCGTTGGCTATATAGTTAGCAACTCAGCTCCCCGATGAGATAGATTTGAATTCATTTCAATCTGGCTTCAGGCTCAGTTGAACAAAAATGTCTTTGGTTGCCGTGGTAAACAATCTACCATGCTTTAGTTACGTGCCTTTGGATTACAGTAATGTCTTCTGCATCAGTCGGTCTTTGAAGAGTTTGGAAATTTGAGCTGGTTCAAAATGCTGAGCCAGACCGCTGACCAGAACTGGTTACTAGGAACACACAACTTCTTTGTTGCAAAAGTTTTGCAGACCACCCTTTCTCTCCTGGGAATAGTTCAAAAGACTGGTTATGGCCTCTAAAGCCTTATGCAACTTGAGTCTAGGTACATCTACACTGTCAAATTTTGCAGTTTGACAGCACTTTAACTTCTGTGGCTCAATGCTATGGAATCCTGGGAGTTGTAGTTTGATGAGGCACCAGCAGTCTTTGTCAGAGAAGGCTAAAGACCTTGTAAGTCTCCACCATTTTAAAGCATTGAACCATAATAGTTCAAGTGGTGTCAAAACTGTAATAATTCTTCCGTGTAGATGCACCACAAGACCATGAATCATTTAAATCAGTAAGTTTATCTTCCTCCCATCTGTGTTCCATTTGCCTATATGGAGAACTAGTTTTTTGTAGTTCCTTAAGTGCTGGATTTGTATTTTGGGAGACCGTGGCTTGAATCCCACTCATCTCAGCCATGAAAACCCACTGGACAACGGTGGGCAAGTCACACTCTCTCAGCTTCATAGGAAAGCAATGGCAAACCTATTCCAGCAACTCTTGGCTAGAAAATCCTGTGGTAGAGTTGCCTTGGGGTCACAGTAACTTGGAAATTATTGAAAGGCACACAAGTCCTAGGTCGCATCAAGTTTATTAGCACACAGAGACTACAGGACACAAACTATTAAGAGTTTCAAAAAGCATTATAGGGAACTCACTCCCGCACACTTTGGCTCCAGTGTACTCCTTTCATAAATTTAGGAAAGCTAATTATAATACAGGAAGCCTTTTTTATTTGGCAAGGTTTAACATTCTTCCCTCTCACGTATTAAATTTCATATATAAGAAAACCACACTGAACAATAGATGTTGTCCTTGGAGTAACCTCAAAGCAGAGACAATTAATCAACTTTATTGTGATCATAGATCAGTCTAGAAGAACTTACAGAGAACATAGTGGAAAATAAAGATAAAAAGCAACTGAAACTTACAAAGATTTAGTGAGACAGAGAAATATATAGTACCTACAAAAGTATGTTGAAGGGCCGGTGATGTGTGGTAGTTTGAGCACTGGACGCTGGAGATGAAAGTTCAAATCTACACTCAACCATGTAAACCAGTTGGGTGACTTGGAGAAAAATATGCTCTTTCAGCCTCAGAAGAAGGCAATGGCAAACCTCTTCTGAACATACATGGCAAAAAATAGAATCCCTGGATAGGTTTTGCCTTAGGGTCACCATAAGTTGGAAATAACTTGAAGACAAACCACAACAAGAGGGCAGTTCCACAACCAGCTTCTAAATCAATAATTATTGGTGTTCACTAGAGTTAAAGAAAGTCATTATGAGATTTGATCAACTTACTCCTACTGGAAAATGTTTGGCATACAACACAAATTCCAAAGTTGAGACGGGCTCTCATGTATTCCTCCACTGCTGGTATTATCAAGAGCTTGAGACGAGTTCTTGTACTCTATTACACAACCTTTTCTAGGTTGTTCTAAAAGTCTCTTATGATTATTTTATTCCAAATTTTAACAAGTCACTTATTCAGCAAGTGTATGTTTCTAAATGTGGTTGATTTAACTAGATCATTAATGGCTGTGTAATCATCATGTAAATTAATATATATTTAAAATAAATGCTGATTTTGTGTCTAATATAGTACCACAAATTGTATATTTTACTAAAACCTATGCTTTAATAGAACTTAATGCAATACTTTAATTATCTATTGTAAAGAGATGATGTATGTAGATGACGTATGTAATAGACTGGCCTACTCTGAAGGTTTGGTGTGTATAAAGGAATCATAGAATCATAGAGTTGGAAGGGACCACATGGGCCATCCAGTCCAACCCCCTGCCAAGGGTTGGTTTAAAAGGCAGACGCCAGGCCAGCTTGCTGAAGCTAAGCAAGAGCTCCGGGGCGGGGGGGGGGGAGCAATCGGGCTGTCTCTAAGCCAAAGTGCAATCTGATTGGCTGATAAAATTGGAGGGAAAAGCTCCGTAGCTGGATATGGGTTGAGCCAGAGCCAAAGAAAGGAGACAGCTGCCATTTTAAGATCAGTCAGGAGACTGGGTTGGAAGAAGAAGGAGTTGTGGAAATGGTAACAAAGAAGAAGGAACTAGGAGACTGAAGGGGAGGGAAGAAGGAAGGAAGGAAGGAAGGAAGGACGGAAGGAAGGAAGGAAGGAAGAGACTTGGGAACTGTGTTGTTATAGGAAAGATACCTCTTTGAGGAGTAATAGTTAATAGGCCTCTAAAGTGTTTAGAGTGCTGGAAGGAAGGAAGGAAAGAAGGAAGGAAGGAAGGAAGGAAGGAAGGGAGAATTCAAAAGATTTTAAAGCATTTCTGTTTGAATTTCTATGTCTGGAACTTTGTTCCAAGAAACTTAAGATTTAAGTATCATTCCTCAGTATTGAA